TTGCATCCAACCTAAAACCAATTGGCAATAGGTGGAGTAGCCCTCCTTGTATTTAACCCACAAGCTTATTATTTTTATACTCGATGTGGATTTTCCCACTTAACACATAATGCATCAATGGATACAATTCCAAAAGAAATAGGGAATTTGATCCATTTGAGGCACATTAACTTGAACGAAAGTAAAATAAAAGGATTGCCCAGATCCTTGTGTGAGTTACATAATCTTCGATATTTGAATCTCGAAAACTGTGAATCTCTTGAGAATTTGCCAGATGAGGTAGGGAATTTGATCAATTTGACGCACATTAACTGTAGTGGAAGTAAAATAAAAGGATTGCCTACATCTTTGTGTAAGTTACATAATCTTCAATATTTGAACCTCGACAACTGCAAAGCTCTCGAGAATTTACCAGATGAGATAGGGAATTTGATTGAGTTGATACATCTGGAGACTCTTCATTGCTACAAGTTAGCTTGCTACCCCAAATCAGCTAGGAGATTAAGAAATCTTAGGCAATTACGTGGGATCGTGCTCAGAGCTGATAGAAATGACCCTGAGGAATTCACTCTTGGAGACATGGAAAACTTGAACCAACTTTGTGAACTTTTCGTGGTACTGAAAGGAAATGCAGTAGATGATAGAGAGCTTAAAAGAGCCAAATTTGAAAAAAAGATATATTTAAAGGAAATCAAGGTGGAGTGACAAGGTATTCCTTTTTTTTGTTTTTAGTTTTTCTGTTAAGCTTTTTTATTTTTTGGTACATGAAATGATGGTATATGTACATAAATAAATAATTCCTTTTTTTTTCAATTTTTTTTTTTTTCACTTGACTTAAGTTTGAACTTTAAACCAATAATTGGATCAATCTCAAAATCTTAACCAATTCTCTCTAAGGGTTTTGAATACATCTCATGGACTATACACTTGTACTAAGATGAAATGATATTTAAGGTTGGATTGGATTTCATGTGAGGAAAAGAACTTCAAAATCCTATTTCATATTATTACCTTTTTCCATAAAAAATGTTACGATATTATTACCAACTTGTCATTTTAAAATGTCACCTAAGAGGCTGTTTTGTGAAATCTCTTTTCAAATTCTTCTGCTTTCTCCCCTTCCTAAACCATACTCTCTCTTCAATTAGACAAAAGAACATAATCTAAAAATGGATTTTAAAACTCATGCCACATGTCAAATTTCTTACTGAAATATATTATTTCATCCAAACCCAACCTTAA